ACCCCATCTCAAGTGATTTCAGCTCTGATTGAGCATTTAAAACAACAAAAGAAGCTCCTAATGAAGCCTATTTAGCTCTTTCTTTGAGCATTAAGGAGGAACAGATTAAACCAGACCAGGTGTACCCTTGGAGAGGGTTTGCAATCCTCCTGGCTGGAACACCTGTCCCCACCCCTCTTACCTTCACTGTCTTAACCAGGTCTTTTCAGCTGAAAGTGTCACCCCCTCATTTGGAACAGGTTAAGCACAGTCTTGCTTCCTTGTATTCCTACAATAATTACAACATTTTGGTAACAGCATTTCATTACCCCTGCATTCAGTACTAAAGTGATTTGTAACGCAGCACCAGCCAAAGTTGATTACTTTGAGCAAAACACTCTATTTGCTGGATATTTAAGCAGAGCAGGAGCAAACTGTATTTACATAAACACACCCAAAGTCTCTCTCTCTCTCTCTCTCTCAGCTAGCTGTCAGGGAAAAATTCATTCCCTGCTTACAGAGATAAAACTTTCTCTGATTCTCTAAAAGTTTCAATGATATGTTGGAAAAAAGTGCCAGGGGAAAATTGACAAGGGTAGCAGATATGCCTCTCAGAAGGAGTGTGTCGAATCCCTGCCACTTCCTTTCTCCTTTCTTCAATTTGTAGATGTGTTGCATGTAAACTGTAAGCTCTTTGAGACAGAGAATAGATCTATTTGTATCCCTGTAAAATCCCAATCCAATGGAAACCATTGCATTGATCACAATGTGGAAAAGACCCTAAAGCAGCGTACAAAGTTTTGGTGCTCTATAAATACTGATTAAAACATCAGGTTGCAAGGCCTTCCTGAAAGTAGGTGTCTCTATAAACATCTAAATAAATGCATCTATAAAATACTTCCTTGCCTTCCTCACAGAGTCCTGAGACTGTGCTTGTAAAATGCTTGTGTGGTATACTCAGTTATTGCTAGTGATCAAATCTACCTCCAGTGCCCAGCCACAGTGACTATAACCTCCTGCTACTCAGTGACCACTGCAAGGGTTCTCCTTTAGCTCAAGGGATAAAGGCCTGTGGTTTGGTACTTGAACATTCTTGCACCACTGCCAGCCAAGGTGGCTGTACAGATAAAGCTGCAGTTTGTTACGCAGTTTGTTACGCAGTGATGATTCAAAGTGTGGTAACTGGGTTCTTTAGTAAAGTATTATGAAAGTATTATGAAAGAGACTGACACAACTTCGACATCCCTTCTGCCCCAACACCTTAGGAGCCAAACAAAGAAAATATTAATAAAATGTAAAACCAAAACCAACCCCACTGCCTCACCCCCAAACAGAGCTTTTACCCGTCAATGCAAAGAGCCAGAGACTCTGGGACATCCACTAGGGACCGTGCTGTTGATTTTATGTGCAGGGTGCTCAGATACTACGGTGATGGGCAACAGGATAAAACCGTGAAACCAGCTGTACACTACACACTTATATCGATAGAACTACATCGCTCGTGGGTATGAAAAATCCACCCCCGTGAGCGACACAGTGAGACCGATCGAACCCCTGGTGTAGAGAGCATTATGTCAATGGGAGAGCTTCTCCCATTGACACAGCTACTGCTTCTCCTGCAGGTGATTAACCACGCTGACGGGGGAGGCTTTCCTCTCAGGATAGGTGCATCTTCACTTATACACTGCCGTGGCACAGCTGCATTGGTGCAGCTTCACTGAGGCACCATTTTAAGTGTAGACCTGCCCTGAGACAGTCAGAGAATTACATTAAGGTTCGCATTGCGTAGGAAATGGAAATGAATTGCTTCAATTTTCAAAGATATGCAAACGGTTACATTAAATGAAAGAGAAAATTTTCTACGTGCATTTCTTTCACACCTGCACCCGTAAGCATTATATGGCGGATCTTCACAAAAGTTGTAGGCAATTCACTTCTGAAGATTGGTTGTTGCTACCAAAATCCCTCTAACGAATCTAGGCCTTTAACACTTCATGTTTTGAGCAGAACTCTCAAATGTGACAACTGTTCATGTCCTTGGTGTTTCAGAAACTGGCCAGGAGGTTCATGTTGCACTGAAGGCACGTGTGACATTCAGTGCCTTGCAAAAGACGCCTTCTTTACCTCCAAGATGCTTGCAGATTACAGTGATTTTTTGTAAGAAAAATCCTGGTACATTTCCATCCCCTTGCAGTTCCCTCTTTTCCTATTCAAGTGTTTGATCACTTCTCAGCCAAGCAATTCATTTTTCCACAGCTTGCATCTTCATTTGCAATATATTTTATAACGTTTCCTATAACACAGCCCAAGAAAATCACAGGGACAACACAGAGATCTACAAAGCCTGAATTCAGTGTCTAGGCTCCTATCCAATGAATGGAGAGAGATAGGTGCCTTCAACTACGAACACAAACACAGCATGCCAGGCAGGGAGCCACCTAATCTAGCCAATGGGAGATGCTGACCAGACAAGTAAATATTACTTGTCACAGGTTAAAACCAAACCAAATCAATAATGATCAAAAACGGTAATATGGTGGCTGTTCACTGGAGTGAGAGAGGTGTGGTATCCTTCCAGTTTGCAAGTGTGGTCAGGTGCCCACATCACGGAAAAGACCACCAATTGGCACTAAGGGCTTGTCTACGTGGGGAAGTATCCCAAAATAGCAATTGCTGCATAGCTATTCCGCACTAGCTCCTCATATGGACACTGTTAATGCAGAATAAGAATGTCCGGAGTACCTTTACTGAGCTTTACATTCACAGCCTAGCTTAAGTCCCAATAGCTTCCCCAGGTAGGCAAATTCCCAACACCCTTGAGGCCAATTTCAACAGGTGCTCAGATACCATAGAAAAGAGCATATTATAAAAATCCTAAATAGAATAGACAAGAGGCTAGCTATTGACTGGGTGTAGAGATTAACTACCCTAGACACCTGGGAAGTGTAGGAATCTTACACTGCCCTTCCCCATGTTCTGTCCATACTGCAGATAGATAGAAAATTTCAGTCCCTACTGCCATCTGTCTGGCATCATTCCCATGAGAGTTTCCACCCAATTCAGAAGAAAAGATTGTGTAGTGCTCTAGTAGCACAGCTGCAGCAAATCCTTCCTTATGGTCAGGAGTTGAGGGCAGTGGGAAGGATGTCAGCAGACACCATTAGGGACCTTGTAATGATTTCCTCCCCTGCCCACAGGAGGACGGGAATGATTGACCCTATATCAGTTTTTTCCCTCTCTCTACACTGTGCTCATTTTGCAGTTCAACATATCATCATCTGCTGCATTATAAACCCAAATCCAAAGACCTGTTAATGGCCATGTAAACACAGCTGTTGGACTTACCTGGGGTTTTAAAAAAAAAATGTAAGATATGCCAGAATCATAGGCTGAATAATTGTGTTGCAACTTAGTCTTCTAGTTCTATTGCCACTGAATCTGAATTTGAGCAGTTTGAAAGCAGGGGTCCTTGAATAATCAGGGGGCCCATAAAATACATTAGCATAAAGGCAAACATCATTTAGAATTTTCTCCTGAAACAATGTTTGTTGTAACTGATAGAAAATAATCAAAGAGGGCAAAGAGACAGAACTAGTTATGCAAGATTCTAATCCATAGTCCATCCTTCCTACTTATCCTATTACTGAACAACAATGGTGGTTTGTTAAGCTCTTAACTAGATTTCCATTATAAAACTGAATGATGGTTCTATTTAAATTCCTAGACCATGCTCAGAGACATGTTACATGCTGTCCTTCCAGTGATGCATTAAGTGACATAATTTGTCTCTGTTTTATGAGATTATTTCTCCATTCCTCTCCCTGAAAAGGAAAATTATGTGTGACCTCTCTCAACATTCCTCAAGTAAAAATAATCCCTTTGCATGAAATTTTATGTGTGTGGTCTCTGCAGTGAATCAGAGGAAGCATTTTTGAGGGTATTTCTAAAAGTGAGAGAATTTTCACTTTTGGGAGATTATTTTTATAAAATACCATATTTCAAAATAAAAAATAGCTTGTCCTAGACACACCAAATGTGCATTATTATTCTCTCTTCTGTTAGAATGAGCATCTTTCAATATTTGGGGGAAGGTTTGATCATGGAGTTATTTACTGTGGACTTCTGAATCTTTCAAATACATGAGTTCTCTTATGGATGCTAAGGTCTCTATAGTCTTCTGCATCTCCTAAGAGATCTCTACAGTTGAACTAGTCACCATACTCCTACTGAGTGTAAGCACTTCAATAAGTTAGTGGAGGCAAAATTCCCACACTCTTTAAAGTTCTCAGTAGAACTTCAGGTTTAAGAACTTCAAGAAGGCAACAGTAGTTCCTTTGAATGAACTATAGTGCATCTGTTGCAAGCAGAAGTTCAAAATATACACAGTTGTCAACTCGGTGCAGAATAAACAGTTCCGTGTAGTAATATTTGTGATATTTTTCCTTGACAATTAAAAAAATGCTAAGGAAATTCCAAGATAATAACTTTATCTTAAGTTAAGTTTGTAAATACATACCATTTAAGAAATCAGCTTGGTAGAACATTGGTGTTATACATTAAAATTAAAAGCCAGGACATTTTTAAATTTAAAGATTAACAAAATTAACCCTTCTTTAAAATCTGGAAATTCAGAGTTATGCTTCTACAAAAAAGTTGAAACTGACGTTAGAGCATTGACCATCTTCTAAGTATGCAACAACCAGCAATGCTTTATTCAGCCCACAGGTTCTCAAAGTGAACAGTACATGCACAGCATTGCTTGCCCTGAAGTCTCCAATGTGTGGATCCGCAGCATGATTAAGTAACACACCCTCCCCCCTTTTCAAATATATTTGTAAATGTCTGTAGGTGGAAATAGAAATGAAAATCAAATCATCAGTTAAACACTTACACTGCTGTAGAAAAGTGGAGTAGATGCTCATTCTACTCTGTCTGATATATGGGGTTTTATACCATAGTTAGTAAAACTCTTCTACTGCTTTAAAATGTTGTGTATGTAGACTTAGATCATAAGGCCTTACCCAAGACCAGGAAGATTCTGCAGGGGTTCCTCTGTGTCCTGCGTCTCTGGACGACATCTTGAGATAATCATTTTCCTCCATTCCCAGGGAATTCTTTACCCAGGAATGCTAAAACTGGGATTTGCTTTGGTCGTAAACAAAAATGCTGCGTTCAAGTAATAGTTGTTGACAACAAAGATCCAGAGAAAATAATTTCTCAGTGCTCATGTTTGCTTGCTAATTTTACCTGCTCAAGTTCTTGGAACCGCAGCCAGAGGAAGAAACATGAGCCCAATAAGCTAGTGCACATTTTCCTTTCAACTGACTCCTCAAGTATTCCAATTAAGTCACAAGCTTCAGTGGAACGAAGGCGGCTTTACAGACACAAAACACCTTCCAGCTGGATGGTTTTTTTCTTATTTTGAAAGGGTTTTTTCTGGGCAGGCAATTTGCTGAGCTCCTCTAACTGTGAACAAAACTCCATGCAATTTGCATTCTGCAGGCATTTTAATGCTCTCCTACACAACCCCGGAACTCCACAGTTTAAATGTGGTTACATGGGTGTAACTGAAGATAGATTTTGGCCCTTAATGCATGCCTGTCTATTTGATTTTGTAGTGTGGATGCACAAGTGTTTCTTTGTCAGAGCTAAGTTTAAAGAGAAATACAACTTCTTAAAATGCTGGTTTTGAGTATGCCCAGCTGGGGAGTGTGCAGTTTCACAAACACTTAATGTAGTCCTCCTTTTGAATCCAGATAGCCTTTCTCCTGGCTTAAAGCTTCAAACTCTGCTACTTCCAGTCCAGCAGCTGAACTCTTTTGCAAGTCCTACCAGTCAGAAACTTGATAGCAAATTAAAGATCTCTCCTAGTTTCATGCCAATACTTTCAGTGTAATTTATAAAAATATCTTTCAACTACAGTATGCAACCACTGAACCAAGCACTAAGCTTCTATTGTAGAAGCACAAAACCAATCAGGAGTAGAAAAATGTTAAACTCAATTTTCTCAGCTATAGAAGTAGTAATAAGAAGGACATAAGTACTTCAAGTACAGCAGCTTTTCCTAGCTTTGGTGATTCATAATATCAGACCCTAGAATCACATTGTTCAGATTACACTCTTGCATTTCTATTATATTCTGTGTTTAAAAAAGGCCTACAAGGATTTTCTCCAAAGAAAGTTTTTTCCTGTTTGCTCTTTACTTGAGAAATATCAGGAATGTCACTTCAAGTTTTGCTGGTGCTCTGAGTGTTGATTGTGAGCTTTCTTAATTGAAGATGCAATGGTGTTTCTAATCTTTAGCAAACACAATGTTTCTCTCAAGAGTTTCAGAGGTTTGAGATAAATAGCTGTTAAAAACAAAGTTCAGCAGTTTGAATAAAAATAATTTACACTCTTAATTACGTTTCACTTGTTTGATGTCTCTGATGTTTTAAAACTACTAGTTCCCAATATAGAGCCTCATTTTCTGCTCCCTTGTACCTTGGGTTATCATTTGCATTTGTGAAGAGGGATACAGTATACTTCCATTCTGATTTGATACCATTTTGTACCCACTGTTCAGAGCTGGAAAAGAGCAGGGCCCTTTTTATCAGGAAAATCAGCATAGTCAAGGCCTGAATTCCTAATATTAAAAACTAACGGGGTTGGGGGGAAGGGGCTATATTTAGTTCTTCTTTATACATGAATTTATAAATATTGCAAATCCATTGTTGTTCCTTCATAGATATCTTTAAGTGTGACCTAGATAAATGACTATCAGACTCAGCCTGTCTAACTTAAGACAAAATTCTCCAAGATTTCAGGGAGATATTACCTATGTATGGGTGACTAGAGGCCAAAGCTAACCTACTCCCATTGAAATAAAGGGCAGTTCTGCCACTGACTTCAATAGGAACAGGATCAGTCTCTTGGCCCTTTACGTTTATTCGACACAGTGACAGCTGGAATTCCTTGTCTCACAGGCTCAGTGGCTGTCTGTTCAGTGAAGCATGCTAAGATGATTTTCCGGTATGTCATGAGGGTTGCTTTTAAATCTGCCAGTCTGACCCCTTCTGGTTTGAGCTTTATTAATGTCACTGTATAAAGTGTTGAAATAAAATCGTGATTGAATTAACTGAGCCCAGGATCGATGCATTGGCTACTTCATTTATCTTTCCATTCAGTTGTATAACTTCACTTGCTATTTATAGCAAGCTATTACAAGATACTCCTAGAGTCAATTATGAACAAACTACCGGCACCACCAGGGAAATGCTAAATGCAATGACAGCCTCAGCTCCCTGGATGGAGGAGGCACAAAACTTCCCAACGTCTCCATAGCAAGCACTTCTCTGTAGATTTTAGCCCTAGGGTGAGGTAGCTCTTTTCACTAACCAAATACGCTCTGTGACTGTTGCTTGGGTTTTGCTCAAGAGAGCGTCCAAAGGAGTGGATTCCACCTCCAAAGAGTTCTTGTAAGATCCAACCCTTGAGGATGTCAAAGTCAGATTCAAGACTCACTGAATTTGTCAGACCACTCTGTTTATTAGCAAAGTGCTTTGCCAATGCACCCAGATATATGTGAGCCTCCTGCAAAAGCTCAAGCTAACTTATTTATACAGATAAGCCAAAGCCAATTTAACATAGGAGACAAAAGGAAGCAGAAACTGACAAATATACATACATATCTTATTTGCATACTAACGTTTACCAATCTCCTAGCTCAGTAGGAGCTCTAAGTTAATTAGTTTGAGAACCCATTGTCTCACACTCCTTAATGTTTCTCTTCCTGACAACTATATTTCAACAAACTCTTCAAGCAGCATTTCATTAATGAATTATAATTTCAACATAATTTGTTTTACTTTCACAAGGAGGACCAACAAGATACAAGCTGACCGAACCTGAGTCCCTCTGCTGCAGCCCTCCCCACTTTGCCCATCACCCTGGAAGATCAGTAGGGGGCAGATACCCACCTTTCCTCCAATGTCCTACGCCCTGGTCTTCCCGCTGGGACAGTCTGCTGTCCATCCACAGGTGCTGAAGAGCCTCCTGCAGGGCACCATGAACTACCACCTGGTCAGCTGTCCAATATCCTCCTGCTGAGGGTCTGCAGCCCCACACTGCTCTACAACTCTGTGTCCACTACCCTGGGTTTACAGAGACCTGGTCTGCCATTTTCTCCAGGACATCTGTTCCTATGCAAAATGCTGAACACTGCCAGCCTGAACTATAAGAGATACTGTCCATCTACTGTCCCATTTGGACCAGGAATATCATGTCTAGAAAGAGGACCAAAAGGCTGTTCTGGCTGTCCTCTCTGGGCTTAGCCCTCCCCCTGTGGCTTTCACAATGGGAGAAGGACACAATGGTACAGTCTGTGCCCTCCTCGCTAGTGTGGACTGCTCTGGTACCCAACACCATCCTGAAAAACTTCATCCAGGCCTGGGACATGCTATTTGCATAGTGGTAGTACTGAGAGTCCCCAGCTGAAACTAGGGTCTCATTGTGCTCTCCTTGCACACAGTCCCTACCACAATCTAAGTCGATAAGACAGACAAAGGGTGGAAAAAGAAGTGGGGTGAAGTGACTTGCTCAAAGTGATAGAGCACATCAATGGTAGAGTCAGGAATAAAACCTAGGTCACCAGACCACACTGCCTCACAGGCCATACATGCAGTGATCCCTCCCTCACTACATTAAAGGGATGGGGGGGTACTCAGCATACACCTAGTGCCTGCCTGTACAAGACACCATTACTACAGTCTACGCCAGCTTTAGCTCCATGTTCCAAAGGACAGTCCAAAGCATCAGGCTCTACCCTCTAATTGTTAACCTTTATGCATAAATCTTTTGTTTCTATGGCATTTGCTGTGTTGGCAAGACTGTGTAGCTGGTTATGTGTAAATAGGTATGCTGCGTAATCTCCTGAAGTGTTCCCTTCAATAATAAATCAGGAGCAGCGGCACAGGAGCCAGCAAACAGAGCTGAAAACAGGGAGTTTGAGGGAGACATGTGTGTGTGGTGTTCTGGTGTTTGTTTGGTTTTGGTTTTGCTTGCTAGTGTAGATGGAAAGGCTATGACAGATACCAAGGCAGCAGTGGTAGTGAACCAAGGAATGGAAGGGACAATGAAGATGACTGGATGTGGAACCTGAAAAGAACTTCATTTGGATGAAGTGCCGCCTGATGGAGCGGATGGAAGAGAAGATCTGAGGTTTGGAGATGCAAGTGGAAACTATGATTGAGTTTCAAAGGGGATTTGAGCTGATCATGGAGGGAAGGGAAGAGGAAGCTGAAGGAAAAAGTCAAGACTTTCAGATGGAAGCTGGACTGAAGAACTCAGAGGGGAAACTGCTGGGTGAGGAAAGTGGCCAGTAGACGCATCTGACTACGAGAACCAGGCAGAGGAAAAGATTGGCTAATGAAGGAGAAAGAACTCAGGAACAGGTTTGCTGAAAATGAAGGAGGAGCACAGCAGGCAGTACCTGAAGGTGGGAGGGAAAGAGAGAAGAGCAGCTAGTCCTTAAGAAGAGGGGAAGAGTCAGTGGAGGTACCCAGAGTTCAGAGTCCCAGGAGAATGCAGAATGACTCTCAGGAGATGGTAAAGGAGAACAAAAGACTAGAGGTCTTGCAGCCAGAAAGAACAAGAGGAAGGCCAGAGAATCACACCAACACCAGGAGAAAAGGCAGATCTGTGTGATTGGTGACTCCCCACTAAGAAGCACAGACAGGCCTGTCACAAGAGCTGATCTGGCAAACAGAAGGGTCTGGGAGCTAAAATATGGGATGTGGACTTGAGGCTGAAGAGGATCCTAACAGGAGCACGAAATAATCTACTGATTGGCCTTCACGTCGGAACAAATGATACAGCTAGATTCTCTCTGGAACATATCAAGGGAGACTATGCCAGGCTGGGGAAGATGCTTAAGGAAATGGAGACTCAGATGATCTTCAGTGGGTTCTACCTGTCCCTACACAGGGAGAATGAAGGCGAGACAAGATTATGATGACCAACAAATGGCTCAGGCTCTGGTGCTATAAGGAAGGCTTTGGGATGTTGGACCACTGGGAGGCATTCATGGACAGAGGACAGTTCTCATGGGGTGGCCTCCACCTGAGTAGGGAGGAAAACAGCCGTCTGTGATGGAGAAGAGCTGATTAAAAGAGTTTTAAACTAGGAACTCGGGGGAGACGGTTGGGAGATGCTCATGTAACCACCACCCCTGATTCTAACACTGAGTAGGAGAAAAATCAAGAGAGCAATGGAGAAAGAAACAACAGTGGGTAGGAGAATGGCTAATGTCAAGCAGGTATTTGAACTTGGGTCTCCCTGC